AGGAAATACCTGAGCTATAACATCTCGAATTTACGGCTGTACCGATTGCATTGGGGTGATGACAAGAAACTGTTAATCTAAATTCTATGGCGTTACTATAAAGGACGCTATTAACACTGTTTTAGAGAGTAAAAACTACCACCATATATTTTAAAGAATCTGGTTGGTTCTGTATAGGTCTTTTCTGAATAATAGGGTTGCGATCCTAAAACTAATGTGGATTACTATTGAGTGTCACTTTCCTACTCCCTGTGGTTTGTTGGTGTGTATTGACAAAAAAAGACATGATATCTAATCAAAAACACCTTAGGTGTGGAAAAAAGGAGCAGCCAAAAAAGGATTCAGTGTGCGACTTAAAGGAATTAAATCAAAATTGGCTACCAAACTGGTTGCTACACTTATAGCACTAAGAAAAATTTTATAGCAAATATTCATTCACTAGTTAGCCAGGCCGCGTTTTTTTGTTCAACTTGGAACATGATGAGAGGAAAACAAAATACGCGGCCTAACTAACTAATGAATGAATATTTGTTGTAAAATTCTTATCAATGCTATAAGTGTAGCTATCAGTTTGGCCGCCAATTTTGATTGAATTCCTTTAAGTCGCACACTGAATCCTTTTTTGGCTGCTTCTTTTTTCCACACCTAAAGTGTTTTCGATTAGATAAGTAAATTACTATCTAGCTGATCTGACACAAGAATTTAGTGTTTGTTAACTGCTGCACTGGGACATGCTGGACTCAAAATTAGAATATGTTGTTAGTTTTTCTGCTGATGTGGAGTATGTTTCAATTGCTGGAAATGGTGTTTCCCATTGCTGTTTAAATACGGTGTTTGCTTCAACTACTCTGGAACAATTTGAATTCGAAAATTATATTATTCCTTTAGATTTGGCTAACTGTTATCTGACGTATTTTTAAGTCATCAAAATTTTTTTGTTGTAACTGCTGGTCTAGGACATGCTGGAATTCAAATTTCAACCATTCTATTAATTTCTGTTTTTTTTGAAGTGCAGTCAGTGTCAGATGTTATGTTCTCCAATTGTCAATTAAAGGCTTTTACTTATACTTCTTAACAATATAAATATATACTGTGTTGTTGTTGGGTTTAGAATTCTTCTACAGTCGGTGTCTGTGACTTGTTGGCGATAAATTCAATGATAAATGAACAGCACGCACTCAACTTGTTTTCAAAATAATATATATATATATACATATATATATTCGGAAAAAGTTAAACAGCAAATTCTTTACACTATAGAGATTATAGACATATCATAAACATTATATATGGCTATCTTCTTTTTGTCAAAAGTCCATTTAGGCCTATTCAATTGATTTAGAATTTCAGTTGACAAGCCGAACTACCTTTCTCTATTTCTATCGTACTAGTATTCCGTATATAATTCACTTACTCCGCTTCGTTGGTTTACTGCAGTTGTATCCTGAACTTCCAATACTCGTCTGGTTTTTCGTATTTAGGCCTACTTCCAATAGTTGTCTGCTTTTTGTCAAGGTCCACACAGGCAGGTTCAATTGGTTTAGAACACTCCTTGACAAGACAAATCATTCTCCCAAAGTGTCAGAAAACGGTTAATCTCACTTTAACATATCAATCGTTAGGCTATTCACTCTTAACTTTCGTTTTATGGCCTTTTCTTTGGTTGCACTTCGGCGTCCCGTTCTTTGGTATCTCGTTTGCTCTGTCTATCTGCTGTTTCTGCTAGTCTCACACTATTTATATGTTTATCAATTAATTGTCTGTCCGCCTTCTAGAAATATCTATATTCTTGACGTCAGTGTATTGCACGCGACATTCAATAGGCTCAACATCAATGAATTATCAACACAACTTCAAACAATCGTATGCTTTTAACTCTCTTATTATAAAAACACCAAACAATCATAAAATATTAACTGACAAAATAAATTAATTAATACCACCTACACTAAACAGTCTTTTATATCACGACAGTCAGTCAGCAAAATTAATAGTTTCTAACTGATGTATAAATGAGAACATTCTGGACTCCAAAGTTAAATTATTCTGTTTCGCTTTATTTGAGACAGACTTATAAGTTATTACAATGTGACGTTTTTACTGCTTTACTACGGCAAGCTAAAACACATATATAGGTAGATTATTCTGTTACTTTCAGTTTATTTGAGAGAGACATAATTCACTAAAACGTGATATTTGACTCACTCTACTCTCCTGCAAGATAGAACCCATATAAAATTAGATTATTCTATTACTTGTAGCTTATTTGAGAGAGATATAAGTCATTAAAGGTGATGTTTGACATATTGCTGCTCTGCAGCCATCTAGAATCCATATAAAGTTACATTACTTTTTACTTGTAAGTAACTTGTAAGTGACTAAAACGTGATGTTTGACTTACTGCTGCTCTGCAGCTAGATAAAACCCATATAAAGTTCAATTATTCTGTTAGATCTGTGTGTAATTCAGTGACTAAAATGTCATGCGTGTTACTTCTGGCCTAAGAAATGTTGTAATCCAACTTTAGAATATTCCGCTACTCTTTAGTAATGTAAAAGCACATTTAAGTTACTGGAGTATCTCATTTGTTACTGTTTCTCTATTCTCACGTTAGAGTACAAGATATTCGAACACTCCCATCTGAAACGACATGAATTTCAATCTTTAAAATGCCGCGCTTGATACACTGTTGATCTGTGGCTTGCTTGAATCTTAGGTTAGAATATCTTCTTAGTTCTGTTTTTCTTTACGTTAATAGAATTTAGTGCTTGTTACTACTCCTCTGCAGCATGTTAATATTCCAAAGTTAATTTATCGTTTGTCCCAGATGATCTGGCGTACAAGCATCACTCTACTTCGTACATCTCACTGCAGTATTGGGAAGCGTTGTTATTCAGTTATACTAGTCCCTGCTGGTACGGGATAGATAGCGCTATGATGTTGAACTTGTTATTGGAGTTCAACTTCAACCTATTTTATTAGTTCCTGTGACTCTGGAGCATATTTTAATATTACACTAAAATGCCATGCTCATTATTACTTCCAGTTGGAGTACAAAATTAATCAGTTTGTGAAGTGAGGAAAAGAGGAAACAATACAGTTTGTGAAATGTTTTGAAGCTGAGTACTATATTTCTTGTTTTTCATGTACCTGTTATTATAAATCAAACTAAAATGTAAAAATTAGAAATGTATTAGGTTACATAAGGTTATATTAGGTAAGATAATGAAAAAAATAAAATTTTTCATAAGGTATAATCGCGAACAGTTCGTGCGTTACATAAGCTGCACGTTCGCCCAGTGATTTACAACTTGTGCGGCGGGATTCTTAGTTAGACACGGTTCAAAGAGCAATAAAACAACAAAAAAAACTAATTATAAAGATATATATATATATTGTTACGAGTTATAGTATGGAAACTCTAGTGGTTACTTTGCGGTTACGAAGTCGGTCACACTGACCGAGCCCGTAGCAAGAAGGTCCATTTACTCCATCCACGTACAAATTTGTCTCATTCCTGCCTCCGTTTTATATGATATTTTAAGAAAAAAATATAATTTTTGTCTCCAGTCCCTTGCCACTTATTGCATCATCTATTGAACCTTTTACTTCTGAGAAGCTTACAGTCTACTAAAAGGTAGCGGGATGGTTTCGGGCCTTCATGAAAAGAAGTGGGATGGAACCCTGTTTCATCATGCCCTACTATAAGCACTGAAGTTAAGTTATTTGATTATTTCAAGCTAATATATTGTACATTTTACACAGTATTTGCCGTACTATTTAATAGCGTTTTATTTTATTTATAAATTCAAAGCAATTATATATTCTCTTAATCCTGGATCATGGGGGGGGGGGCGTACCTAATGTAACTCACTAGAATATTGCCCTTATTAATCAATGCTGCTATGAGACATGTTAAAATCCTTAGTTAGATGAAACCGTAAGTCCCGGATGATCTGGAGTGTAAATGAAGTCCCTAAAATATTTTCATACTGCTCTGAGACATGTTTTAATTGAAAGTAAAATTGCTCTGTTAAATTCACTTAATCTGGCGAAGGTTGGAATCACTAGAATTTCGTGCTTTTTGCTGCTTCTCTGGGGCAAAATGAAATCCAAACCTAAATTATTTTCTTAGCATACGTTAAATTGGAGTACATTTTAGTCACTAGATTTTTGCTGTAATTCCTTTTTTTACACTCTATACTGCAAATTTACGAACATGTAGTAGTGTCAAGATCGTGCATAATAATCCATGTTCAATTACTTTTGTATAGGAGGGCGTAGAGTAGAAATACATAAAACATTAATGGTAGAATATCAAACGTGATAACTTATAAGAATATTACTGAGGGGGTAAATGCGCACGGTAAATGTATTTTTGGCTCTGTATACCGCATCTACAAAATAGTTTTAAACACCTAAATGTATGATAATGCTTTTCGTTCAGTTTTATTCATTATTTTTTATATTTTCATGTGTAATCATACTGGTAAACTTTAAACCAACCAGTTGAAATAACAGTCCTTGATTCATATTCTAGACACAGTTTGATTGCTATAGTTAACCATGCCACGTGTATAACATTGTTCTCTTAATTCTAAATTAAAATATTATGAAACAGTTGTAGTGCAGGTCTAACAACCTGTTAAACATAACGTAGCGCCGGCGAATAAAAGTTTCTAGCTCTAGCCAAAATTAAGTATAACAATGCTGGCACACACGCATACACATATAATCCATAAATTTACTTAGCAAATACATAATCTTTCTGGCCTGTCATTCAAACTCCATCTATTGCTATGAGTGATAGCTTTGTTTTTGTAGGTCTTGTAGTGTTTGGCTGCAAGTGGCGAGAAAGTATCAGCTGGGCTTCACACCATTGTTTGTTTTTTTTACAAAGGGCATCTCAAATTGTTTCACAGAATTCTTGTCCAGGGGTTTTTCTTAGTTTTACCAGTAGACCTTGACCCATTCAAAGTGTAACGTCGTCAAGGAAAACCTCCACGAATTGTAGATCTAGTTTTTGCACTAGGCAGTGATATAGGTTGCTTGTTGTGGATCAGCTCACCTGTCCTGCGATATTTGTTGGCTGATCCCATAAACCGGTACTTGGAGGTCGAATACTCGGGCAGATTTCTGGCTACGTCACTGGACTAGAGAAACTGTTGGTAACCTTGCCATGAGCACTACCCCGTTACCTGGTCCTTGCTGCCAAATCACGCATGCTCGACTTAAAATTTTCACTACCTTCCCGTTAATGTTGGCTGCAGCCTACTTTACAGCTGTTTCTCGGTCGGTCGGGCAAGAGCTACTAGGGACGTGGTGTGGACCAGCAGAACTCGGACAGTCCACGAAGTAGACCGTGCTATATCTCCAGACGTCTCCATTTTGGGAGGTCCGATAGAACCCGTTCTTCGGGATCTGTATAAGATTCTGTGGATAGCCAACCTCAGCTAAAACTAAAGCTTTTGTTGAATCAACGAGCTATGGATACTCGTCTAGAACACTTGGTATTTCTGTTGACTTTCCTTTTGCTGGGTAAGTTACAAATAGTTCTTTCTAAATGCTTGTTATACATGTGTTTTCAGATCATTATTTTGTTAAATTTTTAAATATTATTCCTCCTGGTGACAGTTCACCTGAATTATGGGTTAAATTTACCTTCTCATGTAATACTGTTTTAAAAACGATTAGCAGGTGTTAAGTACGCATGCGTGAATGGTAAAAACGGTTTCGCTATTAAGACTACTTCTCTTGTAGAATGCCTATAACAGATCCAGGGTTTCTTTCTATGAAGTACACACAATCTGATAGATGCTTCTGACCATGAAGCTAATTATTTAATATTTCAAAACAGGTATTAGTGGAATAATACTAATATATTTATTTCAATATATCGTTTCGTCTTCAACGGTGAGACATGATCAACTACAACATTCAAAATATTTGTATTTTTACTTTAAATGTTGTACGTGATCATGTCTCACCGTTAGAGATGAAATGTTGTACTGAAATAAATGTATTAGTATTATCCCACAAACCTTTATGTACGTTCGATAATTAAGTTGCTATCTCTTAAAAAACACAATGTAATGAAGTTAACTACATATACACGCAGAGTCACTTCCTAAAAAAGATTTACGTTCACGAAATAATGGAGTTCTCAGTATTTTAGTGTTAAGGAGAGGACAGTTGACAGTTTCAAAGAAACAAAAACATTAAGCTTAACGTTAAATACTTTCCTCTTATCATTCTGGTTACTTTTCATTTCGTGTTATGATTATTATTTATAGTGTTGCTAAAACCAGCGTGGCTCTTAAAAGGTTTATAACAAACCTGCGGAGTCCTCTCGGAAATTATATTTATTACAGTATTTAGCCAGTTATATCTCATGTTTGGTGAGCATTTTAAGGCTTCTAACTTTGCCATAAAAGGTATAGACACTCACAGACTGCGGTAAAGTATTACATGCACTAGCTCAGGGCATACTACCAAAACCTGACAAACGACTCGCTCCCACGCCAGTTATTGTCCTACATTTTACCATTGATCTGTATGTGTTGCTTCTCGCAGTTTGCTAGATATGGAAAGTCTGGAAACACAATTTAAACAATAAACCTCGAGTTTTGTTGTAATTTTCTATGATATACTTATACTAAACGATATTATGAAAATTTCTAGATCAAAGTGCGGTACAATATAAAGATTACGCTTCGCCCCATACGTGTGGCTCAACAGACAAACAAACCTGTACTGAACGAGGATATTCACCTTCCAACCTTAAATAACAAGTTTACAGAAACCACGTTTTTAAGTCATGGCGAAGATTTCAACAAGGATGAGCAATCAAAAGGTGAACAGTACACGTTCGAAATGTTAAATGAACATCTCACTTTCTTACATTTTACTTCCAGAAATCTCACCATAATATATACCTATTATTGTACAGTAATAAAGTTGGTATAAACACTTACTTCTAAGGGTTCAAGTTGATATCCGGCTTTTAAAAAATTAAGGACAGTTTATCAAACTGTATATATCATTTACTTTGTAAAATAAAAGAAGTTGGTACCTGGCACTTAATTCAACAACTTTAATATAATCTTTAGTAGTCTGTGTTGTATAGATTAAGCTTCCAGTTTTACCTCGAGGACGTTTGTAAAATTATAGTTACCTGCGGTAAAGAATGTAATTTATAATTCTAGTTGCAGTAAATGCTAGTCAATTACTTAAAAAATATGCTAGTTTCTGTGTAAAAGAATGTCACTTAAACTTAGTCATCTGCCACATGTGGAATTAATTCGACAGCGCCACACCCGCAGAAACCACAGCTACAGATGATTGTTTCAGATATGCGTGAAAAGATATACAAGGGCCATCTGTGCTAATCCTCATTAATTTTGAACTGATAGATTACAGTACTCACCACCAACTTTTGGGCTACTCTAATCGAATAGTGGTTTTTGATCGTCACTCTTATAACGCACCCACGACCCCAAAGAGTGAAGAGGGGCACTTTGTTCGGTGACGTTGTGCAAACCATGGGCCACACCCGGCTCCCACGGTGATGATTTAATTTACCAGATCTATACCTGCAAGAATTATACGCGTGTTACTATAAAACGTATTTACCGTATGGTAATATAACAAAGGTATAATCTACATGATTTATACCCGTAGCTGACTGCCAACTTTTAACTGCAAGAGTGGTAAAATCCCTTATAGTAACTTGCGACATGAATTTGGGGATCAGAAATATGCTTATAATAATTAAACCTACAATATTTCGAACCCAATTGTTAGAATAATGAACCCGCAAATATTAAGAAGTTTAGAAACCAGTGTTCAAATATATCAACCTGCGTGTGTACATGGCGTTATTAATCCATGTTTTTAAGGCGATCGTCCTGTAATTATATAAAATTAGTGATAAATTATACTAAGCTGCGTGTATAGACGTGTTTAAAATACTGTCAACTGGCCTATGTGTTTCAAGGTGGTGTTTCTGAGATCACTTCTTATTCAAAACGAACAATGTGTTTGCTTGTTTTTTAACTTCAACTTTGCATGGCCAGGTGGTTAGGGTGCTCGACTCCCAATCCCACTATTCGTTAGTAAAAGAGTA